TAAATAATTAGTAAAAAATAAATAAAAATTTTTAATTTTGCTTCTAAAACAAAATTTATACTTCATATATTTTTTTAAGTTTTTACGCAATGACCCACCGGTTGAACCACCGAGTAACTGGTTGAACCACTAACCTATTGACTCGCTGCATTGTCCGGGACGAATCTAACAACTATGGTAATAAGGCTTGCATTTAATCTCCGAGAGGCATCTCTATAGATGACAATTGGTTCACCAAGCTCTGAAATTCACTGGTGTGCTCAGCAACTGAAGTTCCACTCTTCAACTTCAGATTCACCAAACGTACATGTCCTCCAAAGTCTTGCAGAAGGCATATGCATCTATCTCTTGCGCCACATGGTAAAAGACACTATGATCAATCCATTGCCGAATTTGATCGATAGTTTTTCTATTTAGCCTCTTCCACTCCACCTCCTTGGTAGGATTGAGGTTCACACCTTTGGCTTTCAAGGAGTCGTACAAAACTTTACAACTAAGTATGTATTCCATCTTAGGCCTCCACAGTGTGTAATTGGTGGCAATGAGCTTGATCATAAGTCCCGATTGTCATCTTGACTTTACAAAGGTTTGATAAAAAATCGGAGTTGTATAAAACTACGGGGGCCAATTAATAAACCTGACTTTGATACCACTTGTTGTGATTCTCTTATCACGAAAAGAGAAGATAAAAGAGGAAAAACAATATATTTCTATCGTCAATAAGATTTTCAATAGAGTTTTACAAACTCTCAACAAAATCTCATAAATCTCTCTCTAAGTAATCTCTTTTTTCTATCTTCATCATGGGGTTAATTCTCTGCAAATGCATCTACTGTTTATAAGAAAATATTGTGGCCTAATGGAGAAGTCTTTTTCATTAAAGCCCTGTTTGGTCCACATTATTTTTTTTATTCTCATTCTTCTACTAATTTTCAACCACACATTTTTCAATAAAATAATTTTTTTCATCACATCAATAACTTTTCCTTCTTTTTCAACCACATATTCCTCATCATATTAATAGTAAAAATACATTCTTACCTTCAAAATGTGCACCAAACAAGAGCTAAGTAAGAGAGTTTTAAGTCAAGTTTTCTTCTTACATGAAGAAGCCTTCTTTATAAAGTAAGAAAGTTTCAATAATTGCGGATGGACATATCAGGAAATGATGTCAAGCCCAATTGGCTTTGTGCCAAAAGTCAAAAATTAAAGGTGAAGTAAATCACATCACGAACAAAATCTACATAAAAACTTTATTAGAAAATTCTTTGTAAAAATTGAATTATGTTAATTAGAATTTTTAGTTGGAAGCAGCAACAAGAAACCCTTAATTTTATGGCTATATTTGAGCTTTTTTTTAAAATGAAAAATGAGTTTTATAATAGTGATTTTGTAGAGAATGTATGGGATAAAAGTAAAAAAAAAAAAAAAAAATCTTAAATTAATATGTAAGATTATTTTATTGAGAGAATGTATAGTTGAAAATGAATTTGAAAATAAAAAATGAGTTTTTAGAAATAGAGCTCGAATAAGGGCAAAATATTCAAAAATGAAATCTATTTCGTCTCGTCCACATGACAACCAACTAAAAAATAGTAAAAAATCACTCAAGTTTCGCACTCCACATCATTTTGCTTACTTGACCTAATCAAGGTATAAAGTCGAAGTGAATTAAACATTTTAATCTAAGATATGTAGATGTCAAACTTCCATGTCAGAGACAATGTGTCACGAATCGCTGCAATACATTATAGAAGTGATGAGCGTGTAACATACGTCTTTCAGACAACTTTTTAGTTTTTTTTTTAAGAATCATTAAAGGTCGCTACTAACTTAGGACAATTAGGAATGACGCTTACGAGGTTGACTCGTGAGTAATTAAGATGAGGTTAAGCGTCATCCATCTTCCATTAATCACCAATTCCTTTCTACTATA